AATGTATTTAACACCTCACTCATTTTCAGGAATATTTAATCCAAATAGCATGTTACAGGCCTGTAGCAACGTTTTTAAAGTGAAGGGGGGGGGGGGCTCTGAAAAAATCCGCGCACTATGGGCCTTTGCTACATGTGTACCATCTAACTCTCCAATGATAGAATCTTCTGTAAAAAAAAAATCAAAACAAGTTTAAGCCGTTATGGATTATTAAAGATAACCCAAATTTTAAATAGCAAAACCGGCATATATATGGATCTGTCAAGGATAGATTTTATTTATTTTTTTATTTTTGTGCTATTAAAGTACTATATCACTCAAAGTATAGGCAGATGTTAAAGATGGGTCAACCTGTCACCTTTGAGAGTAATCAATGAACTCGTCCAGAGATGCATTTGAAAGCGCGAGATCGGTTGCGGCTGTGGAGCATCACTGATTATTCCTTCGTCATAGAATAGAATCCGACATTAATGTTCACTTAATATAGATTTTGAATATACAGACGTTTTGACGATAAACTTCATTTTTGTTTCTAGAAATGTTAAGTTTACTTACAAAAATAGTACATTTTCATGTTTTTAAACTGAGTAGATCGATGACCTAGCATCGTTTTAGATGCCCCTCTAGCCCAGTCTAGGGCTTGAGTAAAAACGGTTAATCTGCACTTGTTATGAAACCGGTGTATGGTTCTATGAACTTCCAATACCCAGTCAAAAAGATCTAAACGTCACTAGCGAACGGTGCACACACCTGTGCTTGCAAGACCAAATAGCCTAGGTCTACACACGTGCGAAGACCCTTCCAGACGAGCTCGGAAAATCACGTTGCTTTGCCGAGAAGTTACGATTGCAGGTGTTTAACCATAATAACCATTCCGTTATTTAAAAAAAAAAAACAAACACAGTTAATGATTAGCATTCTCACTCAAAAGAAAATATACGTCAATTAACGAATAATAATCATGACAGTAATATAATTGGTGAAAAGATTTATCAATGTTATCAATCGAAGTATGACCTATATATTTTCGTGAAAAAGACTGAGGAGGCAGAGAGCGTAGGAATATGAAAACTTTTTATTTCCTTTTCTGGGGAAAAAGCGATTTTCTTAAAATCATTTTACGTTAATTTTATTTTCTTTAACGTATTAAATATACATCATTATTCTTAACATTTGTTGTAATGTTGTATCTACTGATCATGAATGGAACTATTTTCTTCGGAGCAATTGTGTGAAGAGTACCTGACTTTAGTAATATATCTTGAATAGATAATATGCACTGATCGAATATATTAAAAAAGCTACATGTATGGTATCATCCATCATTAAGTTGATGTGCATATAATTTTATCTGAAATCTATATATTGAAGATATAAATTTGCATCCTAAATAACAAATAAACATTGCTCAATATTTGCTTGATAATTATTCATCATATATACTTTGATTTTTTAAAACGCTCTTTATTTTTGTCAATAACACAAGCTGTGTGTATTAGGTAAGATTCGAAATCACATGATGTAAACAATCCTGATGTTTGATAGAACAATAGGCCAAGGGTTTATGAGGAGAGAAGCAGGATCAGAAACCCTTAATTGGCTAGCGAATATGGTAAAAGATCCATTCATTAGCATAATTTACAACAGGTCAATTCCTGTTTTTAATATGATCAGAACACCAGATTGAAATTTCATAACCATGATAGTGTAACTGTAAACACTGTATAGAATGTTTATAGTTAAGATGGATAAAATTGTAAAATCAGGTAAACAAAAACACCCAGAGACATATATAACAAAAATTTGAAACTGTTGGAAATCTCAAGATTTCTTACATGTGCTATTGTTTTAATTTTTGTTTAAATCTTGCACCATTTAAATCATAAAAATCTTTAAAATTATCAAGGATAACAAAGTAGAACCTTTTATTCATTTCAAAAAAATATTCAGAATGTATATTTTCATAATACATTAGCAAAGGAGAAGTCTGAAATACCAACAATCGACCTTGGTCAGCCATATCTCTGAGATTTTACCAACCTTTTGATCATTGACCTCTTTAATTTGCTTTGTTTGCTTTTATTTACTAAAACACATGTATATACTTTAAAAACTTTACCAGTCTTACACCCATATATATTCATACATTTATAATAATTTATTTAGATCAAAATACAAAAGCATCTAAGAGTAATTATAGGACTGACCTGTCACATATTCTAGACAGTAAGTATAGGAGTTGCAAATCTCTGTTATTTATGTCTCTGAAAAAAAAAGAAAAGGAAAAAATCACCCAGTACTTCCAGACAATTAACTGGATATACAGTAATAAATTCTGAATATGACTGTATTGATGACAAAATTTTAGAAGCATAGTATTTTGCTTTGATCTTTCAATTAATGTTTATTATATTGTAATGAAATGTTATTTATCGTTTTAAGTTATGGTTTTTTATAGTTTTATGACCTGATGGAATTATTCCGAACAGGAGGGCAGTGTCCAGACACAAACTACATTTTTATGGTATGTTCACTTGCATAAGCATTAATGAAGCCTTTGTAGCAATTTTTTTAATCTCAAGGTCTGTGTACCTTGAATTTATCATTCATTTTCAGGAAATAATTATGTTGTAAATTTTTCAGAATTTGAAAATTTAGTCTACCATGTTATTTAGTTATTTTTATGAATTTCTTCTATACATGCTTAGATGTGTTTACTTTTTTCATATAGGGAGACTTTGTTGACCGTGGATATTATAGTTTGGAAACTTTCACATTGTTACTGACACTAAAAGCCAGGTAAAATACAGGTGTATAGTATTCAGCTAAAGAAAGAAAACTGTAATGGCAACTGAATTACCTTATTTTGTAGTAATGTCTAGCTATAGCACCAGTCTACTCTCTTTTTTTTTTCACTGTTTTAAAATTTAAATCGACAGATGGCCAGACAAAATAATTCTGTTAAGAGGAAATCATGAAAGCAGACAGATAACTCAGATATATGGATTTTATGGTAAGTAATTGTATTCCACACATGACCAGTTACGCCCACCCACCCCACCCCACCAGATATCTATGTGTTGCTTATGTGTTTTACAACATATACTTAACTCCCTTGTCAAGTCTGTCAACATGCTTGTACCGGAACAAGCCATTTAATGGCCAGCATCATAATCTGATCTCTAAGCATCGTTGTTTACATTGAATAATAAGATTCAAAGTGGAATTGTGTTTGAAAATATGATTGGAGCTGTTAGATTTTATTGTTAAATAACTCTGATTTGTCAATTCCATTGGCTCTGTGGAAACCCACTGAATGTTAGCCAATAGCAGTGAGACTTGCAAACCTTACTAAGTATTTAGTGAATTTCCTTTTATCTCTGAAAGTCAAGAAGTACTTATGAAATGCTGTTAAGGTGTCATATGTGAATTTAATTAAAAAAAAAAATAATAAACATGAAAATTTATGCTGCAGTATTAATACAGTTGAACTTCGATATCTCAAACACTGATATGTTGAATACCATGAATATGTCAAATCCATCTGGATTTCTCAGCCAAGTATTCTTTTAGTATTTCACCCTTGATTTCTCAAGTCCTCTTATATCTTGAAATTTTTATCTTTTTCCCATCAAGTTTGAGATAACAAGATATGACTGTATTACTAACTTATTGAGGGGAAACTTTGGAATGTTTCTAATACAATGTTTCCACCAGCTCATGAATATTCTTTTCTGCTGTATTTTCTTTGGTGAACTATTTATCATGTACTTACTGCTGTTGTCTTTGTGGACAGACATCTCAATGTGTTAGCAGCAGCTTGTTAAACAGACATTTCTTGTATGTCTGTCCTTATTTTCTTTCCCAGAAGGCTGCATTTCTGCAGCTGTAGATATGTGAAATTAGATTTTTAACATGTATGTATACCCACACAGATACTCTGTCTGAAAAAGTGCATATTTTTTAACCTTTAGATGAATGTCAGTCTAAATATGGGAATGCCAATGCCTGGAGGTATTGTTGTAAGGTGTTTGATCTCCTCACAGTAGCAGCAGTGAGTATCTGTATGATTGCAATACACAGGGATAGTGTATTTGAAGGAATCTTTTGCTAAGTTTTTATTTGTTTCTCCAGAAATATTGCAAACATGCTCTAAGGCATCTCTGCAAGCCAAGGGTTTTCGATCCGCTTCATTTTCTCTTGTGGAGAGCAAAGTGGACTGAAAACCCTTAACTTGCAAAGATGGCTCCAAGGGATCACCAGACTTAAATGAAATATGTATGTATCTTATAGTGGTAATTCATGTGTCTTTGAGTGATAGAGGCCTAGGTGTGGAATTCAATTTTCAGTTACAAAAAGTATGCAGATTTTTTTCTTTTTAAATTTAAAATAAAGATCAAAATGATTTTTTTTTTTCAACAGATTATAGATGAGTGTGTTTTATGTGTCCATGGAGGTCTTTCTCCAGATATAAAGACCATTGACCAGATTAGAACAATTGAGAGGAATCAAGAAATCCCTCACAAAGGAGCTTTTTGTGATATCCTTTTTTTGTGTTTATATGTATTTGGATTTTTTCTTTCAGGTAACTGTTAACGAAGTGTCATGCATTTTTACAAGTTGTGTCACTTAGCTAAAAATATGGTGGAATTCATCCAAATGATAGACCCAAAACAGATTGTTATGTTACATACGTACACAATATTTTCTTTTGTCTGTCTTCAGTATGCTGAAAAAAAAATCAGTTCTTTTTAAATATATACATATATATAATGATATAACTATAAAAAGATAACACTTGACACATAAAAAAAATTGTTAAGTAATGTTATAAGTGTAAATATATTTGGTGTTTAACTGATGAAATTCTTTCACTTACTAAATTAAAAGATTGGTTCGTTTAAATAAAACTGCGTTTAAAATTCGAAGCAATATAAGTACGACTCGATAAAAAGAAGTACGAATCATTATACGTACGCTTTACTCAATAATCAAACCTGACCTGATTTCACGTGTTTTATGAACTTTTTATCATAAAATGTCTAGTTTAGTGCGGAAAACGTTTTTATGTGCTCTGAAAACGAGATCTTCTTTCCAACATTATGGATTACCAGCAATAAGAAATCTTACCAGTCGTACCATGGTGTGTAAAAGGACATTTTCAAGCCTTGTCAATTTTCCGAGGCAATTCGGAAGCGTACAACAGCGTTGGTGTCATCAGAAAAGTGCCAGCCTTGAAAGTGATTCCAATTTGTCGAAGTACCTGGAATCTGAAATAAAGTCAGAAACGGAGGACGGGCTTGAAGAAGTTGACAACCTTCTTGATGGATGGACAAAGGAATGTGAAGGAGTACAAGTGGTTTTAAACAAGAAGATAGGCAAAGAGACTGTCAGAGTAAAATTCAGCATTGCTGGAGCTCTGGAGGAATATGGACCAGAGGGAGAGGAAGTAGACTATGAGATGCCATTGTTTTGTAAGCCTCCCTTTGAAGTTGAAATTGTCAAGCCTAGTGGTAACACAATGGCTATCCGTTGCATGATTTCAGAAGAAATCGGGGAAGAGCCATCAGAGGATGATGTGTCTGACAGATTTGAAATTATCAACGTTGCAATGACCCAAGGGGAAGTTAAAGAAACAACATATGTTTGCGAAGCAGAAAATATGGATGTTGACATGTATGAGGGTCTTATGGACGTTCTTGATGAAAGAGGCATTGACAGAGCTTTCACTCAAGACTTGATTGAATTTAGCACAAAATATGAAAAGAAGGCATATGTTAACTTCATTTCATCAATGAAGAAGTTTGCAGATGAATAGTGCTGTTGTGACAGTTTTTGACAAGAAAGATTTGCATTAACATGTAGAGAACATTTTTTAACAACTCACCATGATTTGTTCCATTATGTTTTATGTAATATCATAAGTGATTTATGAATAAAATTTTAGATCTGACTTTTTAAAAAATTCATATAATGAACCATCTGTTCAGTGCATAGAAGGTAAAGTCATATTGCTGCTGAACATTTGTTTCCGACTAACTTGGGCATTAACTAAATTAACTAAAAAGGGGGGGAGGGGGGGGGTGTTTTGTCTCTTTTCTAAGCCAGCTTCCTTCACATACATGACTCTTCTCGTCATTTTATTGGGGGCGGGGGGTGGTGGATAGGGGGTCCTAGGTCATTTTGTGTTGCCTGCAGAGCAGAGCGACACTTGGGGATCACCTTACTTGAATACTGTCCTTTCTTCCGTCTGTTACACCCTATATATAGGTATGGATTTGATATTTTGCACATCTATTGCTTGGCACTTTGGCTTTTGTAAAATACTATGGTTGTGACCTTTTAACTTGACTCCTGACCTACTTTTCAAAATAGCTCATTTTGAAATTAGCAACTATAATTCATGTTTATGAGCTCATGAAACTGTACTTTGAAACTGTATGCCATGCAGTAACCACACAAACTGAAATTTAAATAGATTGTACTTTCAAAATACATCGTGATTGGTATACCAGTATTCATCTTCGCTAGCCAAGGGTTTCTGATACGCTACTCTCATGAGGAGAGTAGCGTATCAGAAACCCTTGGCTAGCGAAGATGACCAGTATTAAAGAAAGACTGAAATCTCTTTTGGGGATGGTTAGATTAAACACACATTTATCATGTTTTAAAATGAAAAATATTTTTTTAAAGGTTAATTTCAATTTCATTATTCCCCCTAGCTTTGGAGATTGGGGAATCATATTTCTATTCTAAAATCAGATTTTTTATGATAAACGCTATTCTTCGTGGATTTTTCCTGTGCTTTTATAAATCATGATAATGCTAGTAGCAAGTAAATAACTGGCCACTCTTCGGTTTATTGTTATTTTTAATGATGCTATAAAGCAGGCGACACATTTGTTCCTTGGAACTCTCTAGTTTGATAATGTAGAAATTCAATAACTCTGTAAATCCCGGGGGGGGGCTTTAGATTCAAGAAATTGTGAAGTCATTTCTTGCTGTCTTCTTTCCTAAAATTATTAATATATCAGAAATGCTCATTATTTCATAATTGTAAAATGAGTATTCATTTTTGTATTCGTAAATATCTGTCTATTCAAGAAAATGATTGGTTTGTAACAGAAATTTTTAAATTGTGCAGATTTTTCCAAAATACACATGTTGATTAAAAGCCAATGTTGGAATATTTCAAAAACAAGTATTGTTTGATGATAATTTGACATTTTTCCTTAATGCTGTATACATTTGGTATGGTCTGATCCTGAGGATGTTGAGACATGGGCAATCAGTCCCAGGGGTGCAGGATGGCTCTTTGGGGCAAAGGTCACAAATGAGGTAAGAATGCTATTTTTTTGGCATGGAAGATCCTTTAAAATGAAAGATGGGAATCCCATATAAGTGGGGGGGTTTTATGAAAGGAAAGATGGGGATCACCAGACCCAAGTTTCTTTACAAAAGGCCTTGGTCAGTGGAGATTAAAAAAAAAATGAAGTCTGATTTATGAGCTGACTTGCACTGTATGCAGTTAGTAGCTGATCTGAGCATAAAGCTCAAGTTGCTTTTCTGATAACATTCATCCAATTCTAACCAAACTTGTCACAAGCATTCTTGAGTAAAGTGGATTCAAGTTTGTTCAAATGAGGGGCCACATACTATTAAAAGGAGAATGAAATGCAGATTTAGGGTGGGTATCTTAAAAATCCTCTCAGAACTACTGGGCCAGAAAAGAGGAAATTGATAGTTTTAAGATACAAGGTAAAGTTAATTTTATTCAAATCATGGCCCCAGGGAGTTGGTTGGGGCCAGAATTCAAGAAGTTTAGCATGGGAATATAGAGGGAAAAATTTCTTTATGCATGTATTTTGTTTTCAAGAACATTAAATGCTATGAGTAGTGAAATTAATATGCAATCATCCCCAGGTAGTATAGATTCAAGTTCAAATTATAGCCCCATGGGGTAGAAAGTGGTCAAAATGCAAAGTTTAATATGAGAATATTTAGGAATTTTTTTTAATAATCTCAATAACAAGGCAATGATAAGTCACATTAATGTGCATGCATCCTCAGAGAATGTAAATTTAAGAATTTTAATTTTGTTTGAAATGTGCCATCCAGGAATAGGGTTGGGGCACAATAGGGTGTCCAAGTTTTACATGACAATATATAGGGAAAAAATTATTAAATAATTTCTTTTAAAGAACAGCAGATCCATGATAAGTCATTCATGTACATACTACACAAGTATTCTCAAGTTTTGCAGATTTAAATTCGTTGAAATCATAATCTCCATGGGTAGGAGTAAAAGTTTCACATGGAAGGTATAGTTTAATAAAAAAGAATGTACAAAAACTTTCCTCTTATGAACAGTAAGGCCGTTATTAGTGATGTTTGATGCAAACATCGTCCAGCGTTGTAGATTCAAGTTTAAGGGCCACTGGTGCAAGGGTGCCGTGGGATCACAATAGAAATTCAAAGAAAATATCTTTTGAAAAACTTCTTGTAAAGAACAACATGGTCATGATTAGTCATAAAAATATGCAGAAATTTCAGTGTGTAGATTCAAGTTTCTTCAAATATGACTCTGGGGCTAGGTTTGTGCCATTGTTTTGAAAAATGCTGCCAAGGTGACTCAGGTCAGTATTGTGGCTTATGGGCATCTTGTATAAAAATGCCACCAGGAACATAAAATTGCTAATTAAGAAATATTTCATCATTTCAGTTTATGCATATCAACAACCTGAAACTTATATGCAGAGCTCATCAGTTAGTGCACGAAGGTAATATATATACTAGACAATGTTTTGTAAAAACTGACAATGAAGCACATATAATAAATGAGATGATAAAGGTGGAAAATACTGAAATGCTGTATTTAGTACTGTGGAGAACTGAATAATAAGTTACATAGTATGCATCATCGCGGACATGGAGTCCGCATACAGCTCTCTCCTATACTGGCCAGACGTACGTTTTGGCCATGGTTTGCGACGATGCATAGTATGTTAGATACTATTAATACATGTATTAATCATTGAATTCATAAGTTTTAGTGAATTGCTTCATATCTGTATGGATGATTTTTTTTTTCAGGCTATAAGTACATGTTTGATGAGAAACTTGTGACAGTCTGGTCAGCACCTAACTACTGTTATCGATGTGGAAACATTGCAGCAGTTTTATCATTCAAAGATCCAGACACAAGAGAGGCCAAATTATTCCGTGCTGTACCAGAACACGAGAGGGTCATTCCAGCACGCACAACAACTCCATATTTTCTATAGGACAGTCATAAGTTTTTAATTCAGCTTTTGGATCGGGGACAGATTTGGAACAAAATATATATTGTCTCATTAAATGATAAATGAAATAACAGGAAAAAGAGATTGCTCCATTAGTAAATTAAATTTCAAAAACAAAAACTCATAAATTATCATGTGTTATGACAATTTACATTGATTGTAAAGCCTTCAGTTTGTTTTCATTTTTCCATATAAGAATGTGAAATGGTATTAAAACATTTCTCATGGATTTTAGAACATTTATAACATACGCAGACATTTTCAAAACATTGAGGAACATGTCAGTTTTTTAAACCTCTTTATTGAAATCTGATCTTTTATGATTGTGTTTGTAAATAATGTAAATAAATGTATTTTTAAACAATTTTCTTTCTTTATTTTTCATCTTTTCAGACAATTATCATTTTCTACCTCATAAATGAAGGCTATTTTTATCAAGTTTGATTGCTTTTTACTTCTGAATCAGCAAAGCAATATAATATTTCATTACATTATTTGTATGGGATTGTACAAGAGGAACCTTTCAGTTTCAGCAACTAAGCTCATTTGTTTGACCTTTAAGATATTTTTGTTAACTGGATGTTTTTATCGGCCTAGGTATCCTCTCGGGGGGGGGGGGGGGGGTCTCCTTCCTTTTGATACATTTTTTTCAGAATACTGGTTATTTGCCATTGCTTGACGTTAAAGCAACAAAAAAGGGGGAGGGGGCAACTAGCATCTATAAATGATTTTTTCTCATATAAAATCTACTGCAAAAGACTATAACCAGAAAAAAGTTAAAACGTTCTACGGACCTGTGCATGTTATATTTTGAGACACGGGTCACCTTTGCAATTGTCCATATTTTTCGAATGTTCAAAAGTTGATGTAAGATAATTGTATCATTTTATACTTTGCACTAACTAAGCAATGTTAAACGAAGTGCTATATGTATTATATAAACAAATGATTGACTATTTTTGCTTACTATTATTTGAAGAAGAAAAAAAAATCAATAACGAAATTATATAAACTGTAGACGAACTGTGAGCGATCCACATATTTATACCCCTGAGCCAATTTTTTTTTTTTTGAAGTGCCCATTTAGGATCTTGAACTTTCCAAAATGCCTTGGTAAAAAAAGAGACATCCTCTGGTAATAATAAGTGACCTGGCTTTGAGCGAAGTAGGGACAATCATTGTTTCCACATTATAAACATGACATGAATTAAGATTTCTCATACAATATATACAATTCAGCACATTTCAAGAAATTTTCAAAATTTGACTTTTGTGGGGGCAAAAGTATGCATGCATACACCGCATATAGTTCTGTAGAGAAGGAGTAATGCTTTATTAAAATTTTTGCATGAATATTATGGCTTATTTTTTATTTTGGATATTAGGAGTCATTCTCTGTAATGACTTGAACTTTAATATAAGAGCTGTGGCACGCATAGTTTCAGAATTTCTCCAAACTCTGTATGATAAAAGTCTTTGATGCCGTAAACTCAAATCGGGCAAAATTGGTTGCTACGTGTCATGGTTACCATAGCAACATGTCCTAAAGTTTGAAAAATAGCATTTTTCAACATGTTCAGAGTCCCATAGTTAACGTTTGCAGCAAAGCAAATAAGTGGCAATGACTGTTTCTGAAAGTTGAAGGCCTGCT